CTTAATAATATAATGCATCCAAATGAAAATTGGAGATATGGTCCTCCTTCTCTGGCTCAAATTGATAACTTTTGTTCTCTTATTAAGCAATGTGGTTTGATGGATCTTGGATTCAGTGGTCCTGCATATACTTGGACAAATAAGCGTTTCACTACTAATCCAACTTTTGAACATTTAGATAGATGCCTTGGTGATGCTGAGTGGTATAGAGTGTTTCCTTTTACTGTTGTGTACCACTTGCCTATGTTATACAGCGATCGTACTCCTATTTTAGCTATCATGAACCCGAACCGCGCCAAGCCGAAATGGAGATTTAAATTTCAGAATTGATGGTTGACTGATAATGATTTTCATGAGACGGCTCTTCAAGCATGGAAACAGACAAATGGTAAGCCTTTTCATATGCAGATTATAAAATGGCTTGCACTATTAAGAAGTGGGTAAGGAAGCAAAAACCTCTCAACCAACAACTATCTGATGTTGAAAATGACCTTTCTATCTTGCAGCAAGCTCCTCCTGATCTTATAGATCATGCTAAAGATGAAACTTTGATCCAACAACATAATTTGATCTTAGACAAAATCACTGAGCATTATAGGCAATTATCTAAGAAGCATTGGGCTACTGAGGGCGATAGAAACACCAGGTTTTTTCAGCAAGCTTGTACCAGGAGACGACATAAAAATGGAATTCTTTTCATTAGTAGAGGAGAAAACAACATGGTGTCTAGGCCTTTTGATATTGCAAATGAATTCATATCTTATTTCACTAATCTCTTTACTTCGTCAATACCAAGGTTGGATTTTAATTTCAATTACGAGGGCACAATAACTAATGATTTCACTAACTCAGTGCCAAGTGTTAATGAGTGCTTGCAGATTTTGAAGAGCATGAGGCTAAATGCTGCTCCTGGCCTAGATGGATTCAATGTTGCTTTCTATAGGGCTGCCTGGCTTTGGATCAAGAATAATATTCATAAATTGATCACTGACTTCTATAGTAACGATAAGTTATATGCTTCGCTTAATGCCACTGAAATTGTTCTTATTCCAAAAAAGACCCATGCAAACCTGGTCACTGACTTCAGACCCATTAGCCTCACAAATATAGTTTACAGGCTCATTGCAAAATCTTTAGCAAATAGGCTGAAAGAAGAGCTACCAGAATACATCCACCAATCCCAGCATGCCTTCATTCAGGGTAGAAGAATTACTGAGAACATTATTATTACTCAAGAAATTGTTCATTCTTTCAATCTCAAATCCTTTAATCAACATGCTTTTATGTTAAAAATTGATTTAGCAAAAGCTTTTGATAGAATCGAATGGTCCTTTATTCTTAATGCATTTCGACGTAAAGGGTACCATGGTCACTTCATCAAACTTGTGCATGCATGCATCTCTTCCGCTTGCTTTTCAGACGTCAATGGAGAAACGTATGGGAATTTCTAGGCGACAAGAGGAATTAGACAGGGATGCCCATTGTCACCATACTTGTTTGTCATTGCTATAAATGAGTTTTCTTTGAGATTGCACGAAGCATTGGACAATGCAAATCTTACAGGTGTCATGTTAGGACCAGGATGCCCCCCTATCCACTCTGTTCTGTTTGCTGATGATCTCATCATTTGTCGCAAGGCTGATTTGCAGGAAATACATGAAATAAATAGTATCCTTCAGAACTTTTGTGCTATGTCAAGTCAAACTCTGAACTGGTCCAAATCATCTATTCTTTTTAGCAAAAAGGTGAGCCACACTATTAGAGCTCAGATCAAGGCTGTTTTTCCTGTTGCTGATTTCAACCACAATACTATGCACCTTGGACATCCTTTACTTATTAGTCATAGAGACAAAAATAAAGTCTATGATTTTATTTATCAAAAATTCAGATCTAGGCTCACTCTAAAAAAAAAAGGGCGTACCAAGTGCAGGGAGCTCCCACTCTGTGCGTGGTCTGGGGAAGGGTGTCAGTGGCAAGCCTTATCCTCGCCTGTGCAATGCGAGGAGACTGCGACTCGAATCCGGGAACTTCCGGTACTTTGAGCCATGTTGGGCGTTTAACTTTGATACAATCAGTGTTTGCTTCTATTCTAATTTATTATATGGCTAATATCTTGTTTTCTAAGAAATTTTTAGCCAAGATCACAGCAATTATCAGGACATTTAGGTGGCAAGGGGTATAGAAAGAGCAACAAAGGAAGCCCATCCACTACAGATCATGGGGGACAATTTGCAAGCCAAAAAATGAGGGTGGTCTAGGAATTAGAAAGTTGGAATTAGTCAACAAAGTTATGCTTATCAATACGGCATGGAGGCTAGTCCATAATCCTAATTCAATTGTGGCCAAAATCATTAAAGCAAAATATTTCCCTTATGGTCGTTCTCTTTGGACTGCTCCTTCCTATTCTCCAAAATCTACTTTCTGGTCTTCTATCCTAAGCATTAGACACCACCTTGAACAAAATGTCACATCCAATTTGTTAATGGCAATACCTCCATTTGGTTTCAACCTTGGTGTCCCATATGGAAGGAGATGCATGATCGTTTAAACCTTAAACAATCTAATTACCAAATCCCAGATAAGGTCTTTGATCTTTGGCTCCTAATCTGTAAAAAATGGGACAGAAATAAGATTATAGTGCTCTTTGGTTAAAATACTTTGCAGGTTCTTTTGCAGATCCCTCTCATCATGGGAGTGGGCCTGATATTTTATGTTGGAAGCCACTAGCGACATATGCTCAACAAAAAGCGCCTATAAAATGCTAGCGATAGAGGAGGCAGCAAGAAACCCGCCATCTAACATTCCTATGCAGGTGTTGCAGATTCTTAGACACATATGGGCAGATAAAACAATTCAGCCTCGTGTCAAAACTTTCGCATGGCGGCTGCTTAGACTCGCCCTTGGGACAGCTTGCAGGATCCACAGGATTATTTCGACAGTTGATGAGAATTGCTCTCGTTGTGGGAGGCCCGAAGACGACAAACATCTTTTCTTTGATTGCAACTTCGCTCGAGTGGTATGGTTTGCTTCACCTATTGGCCTTAGATCTGATGCCTTACCCCCGACAGGCCATGGGCTTCATTCTCAGATTGCTACCATATTACAGCAAGGGCCATCTCAAACTACCACAAGTATAATTTTCTCCATCATGTGGTGTTTGTAGAAAGCTCGTAATGACCACAGATTTAATAGGATAAATTGGTCGGTTGCAAGTGTGCTGCAAGAGGCAAAGGCCATTGATGGGGCTTACAATCTTGCATTTCAAGATGATACTATGTCTGGGCCTACTCCACAGGCTACTACAACTCCTGCCGTTGTAGAGGCTCCTCATTTTTGCTACCTTGCAGGTTCATGAAGACCCTAAATTTTTTTGTGATGCTTCTGTTGACTCTCAAAATCTAGTTGCAGGCAATCAAACTGGAATTGGAGTTCTCATCCTCACTCAACCTGCTAGAAGTATTTCCCATGCTTCTTTTATTCAGGTAGCGACTGCGCAGATCTTGGAACCCTTGGAGGCTGAAGCTCACGCCCTCCTTTTTGTGCCAAGCTAGTTGCGGCATTGCATCTTCGAGATGTAGCTTTGCTAACTGATAATCAGGTGGTGGTCTCCGCCGTGCTTGCTGGATCGCTACGTTCTCATCCTGGACATTGGTCGTTGCGTCCTATTATTGCTTAAGTGCAGGACATCAAGCAAGCAAAATGCTAGTCGGTGATCAAAATTGATAGACAAAGAAATAAGATAGCTGATGCTTTGGCAAAAAGGGCAAGACGGGCAAGTATTCCGACTTCGCGCCTTTTCTCCTGCCAGGCACTTGCTTACTCTGCAACATGTAATATCAAGCATGTGCTAGAAAACTTCGAATGGGGTAACATGATCCCCATCTCTGTAACTTGTCTGTAACTTATTTGTGATGCAATGAAAGTTTTAAATTTTCAAATCGGATGTCTTCTGGTGGAGCAAGGAATTTAATTACAAATACATGGGGATCTATAGAGGATAATGGAGATTGATGTGGCTTCACGAAATCACAGGTAAATATGTTACTGCAGATATATAGATAATATAGATAGATATAGATTATGTGTTGAGTTGTCAAAAGCGATGTTATTCTAAACGGTAAACAGTCGGTGACCAACCGTTTAGCCTATTATTTAGACAAAACGAGTGTTTAAATGGTCAAAATGCCCGTTTAAACGGTAAAAGCAACCGATTAAACAGAAATGATGTACTACTGTATAAGGTTTAAACAGTGTGTAAATGGACTAAATGACCGTTTATGCGAACAATCAAAAGATGTTAGAAAGAAAAAAGAAATCAAAAAGAAAAAGGGGGGAAAAAAGATGGTATGGGCTTTTATTTAGTGGCCCATCTAAAAGCCCATTAATTCAACGCAAACCCACCACGTAGTCTTTACCTGAGACTGTTCCTGATGGATGCCCCGTATAGACACTCGTATCTTAAATGGGTCTCGGATGGTATTTTATCAGCCTTTAATAGAGTAATTATATGCGAGATCTATTTTGAGTTACAGCAAAGACATAACTTAAATATGAGTATATCTTTTTTTTAAGACTTATTTATAGAAATAATTTTTTTAATTTTATTATTGAAGAAAACAAAAATAGATACGAAACCTTTTATCTATAGCACTAGCGAAATGGGTGTTGTATTCTGGTATCGGCACGAAGGGGACGGAGGCGGCGCTCAGGCTCGGGCTCGGGCTCTCAGCGATGGCGAAGCAGTCCCAGGCTCGGCGGCGGCGTCAGCGGCTCCCCCTCCTGCCTCTCGCCAGTCGCCTCGCGCCCTCGCCTCCGTCCTCCGCACACCGGCCGGCGACCCTGCGTACGCACCTCCCTCTCCCCTCCCGCCTCCGCTGGACCGTCGACGGCGCCCGGCCGCTGCGGCGACCATGGCGCAGCGTGCGATGTGCCTGCTTCGGCGCTTCATTGGGTTTACAGCGCCGCCGGCACAGTGAGCCCTGAGTACCACTGCTACACCAATGGTGGAGGGTGCGGTGGTGGCTGAGGCGACGGCGAAGGAGGCGAAGAGGAGGAAGAAGAAGAATCTGTTTGACGTGGCGCAGTTCCTGCCGGAGTGGGGCATCGGATACAAGGTTGCCAAGACCACCTGGCGCGACGTCTCCTATCAGATCACCAAGATCAACCTGTACAAGGTGATCCAATCCCCTGAACCCTCTCCTTGCGTGCTTCCATTGTTTTTTCTCCCTTTGTTTTCATTCCAATCGATTTGTTTTGCAATGTAGGACGGTCGGCATGGAAAGTAGTGGGGGATTCGGTACAAGGCAGGTTAGTATTTACCCCTTCTCTGCATCCTTTGTTCCTTACTAGTAGACATGACACATGCGTCTATAAAAAATCATACACAATAGAGGAATGGCAAATTGACAATGAAACTTTTGAGAAATCAATCTCAAAATCATATAAAAATGTTGTTGATCCATACACATGGTTAATGATGGTATAACAACAAATACAGCCACAATCTAATCCACACATAAAAATCAATTAACGCCTGAGCTCCACATCTTTCTCATACGTGGATCTCTAGTACTTATTAGATAGTTTGTGAATATCATTTATAGCACAATATGCAATCTAACTCTGTTGAAATCAATGCCATCTCCTAAAATCCTTGACTTTTTGCAATGTTATATCTTGACCCTTTTTACTTTTGCAATCAGTAGGAGCTCCAACTGGGGCCTTCTAAGAATTTAGTAAAGTCCTTTGTTTCTTTGGTAGCAGTCGTAGGTCTGTACATTTGCCCTAAGACACACACAAAAAAAGGACAATAATTAGCTTCTGTTCAAGTAAAAGTCGAAGTTATAGGTGAAATTCCTGATCAGGTTCTTGCTTGCTCACCAAAAACAAATTATCAAATAGCATTATTCTTGTCACAAGACTGTAAATTGATCTACAAAGTAGAATCCAATAAAGAAGCAGAAAAAAAAATCAGAAATAAGTAAAAGTATTATATCTCACTTCAGTGCATTTGAGCAAAGCTCTTGATTCACATAAAGGAGGAGCAAGATATATAATGGTTGCAACTACTAATTCAGGTTTTCTTTGAAAGAAATTTAAGCCACAAACTACCTAGCGAAAATACTTCAAATATATTTTCTAGACCATTTTTATCACAAATACGGCACATAGTGGTTTCATATAGATTAACCATATGAAACCAGCTCGACTGAACGACCTTAGGATCGACTTTGGGTTATTAAAGCTTAAATATACTACATTATATTACAATGCACGTCTAGTGCATATCAGGTATAATACATGTGCAGTGAATGGAAAAAATGCCTGGTAGGACACATCCTAAGAACACCTTTGCCAAGATAATCAGACCCTCCATCCCTCAACTCCAAGGTCTCATACATCTCAGTCCCACAAATCAAACTGATTTGAATATACCATTGTTGTAATTTCGAGATGACTTTGTCAAGGTGGTGGGCCTGGTCTCACGATTTGACAATCATGTTTCTCAACACAATTAATGAAGATGAACATACCACTTAAGTTGATCATTTGATGCATGGAGAAGGCTAGCATTGTTTCTATCAAGACTTTTTGGGACATGATTTGCAGAACTGTAAGGAATAACACTAGCAGGTGGACAATGTGGACATTGATTCTATCTCCTGCCATATCAAGAGAAAAATACCAGATGTCAGCAAATTGTAATTGTATGAAGGCACCTATCAATAGAAATAGCATGCGATGGAATTTTCAAATAATATGTTAAAAAAGAGTTTATATAGTTTTACACATAAAAGTTACCGAGTGTCCAAGTGCCAAAATTGAAGGGTTGATGGTTGGCTAAATATGAGGAACTATTTATTCTCTCAAGAAGAAAGCAGTTCCAGAGTATTACATCTTGACCACAGGTTCACTTATGAGGCGAGAGATAAATGAGTTGTTAGGTTCAACATAAAAAAAACTAATTGAGGTGTGAAACCAGGGATTACTCTCGAGCCAGTCTAATGTTTTCATCCTGAATTAATCATTTGAGTACTACATTTGTCTGCAATTTCTAAGATCTATCAACAGGCATACAAGTATCGAGTCTCAAATATTTTATTGATTTGCTTGTAGCATGTAAGTCCACTTTTGCTATGTACGTGTTTGTGTGCAACAGCCAGTGTCCTGTATCTTTAGTTAATTGTTCTGTAATTTCTTCTGTGCATGAATGATATTATTCCTACAGCATATTAAATTTCATGTAATTTCTTTTGCAATAATACAAGGATATAAAGGCATCTTTCAAAATATCCGAAGGACAGATGCATGTATTTTTGTTTACATATAGCAGTTAGTTTTGCATTTTGTTCAAAAGGTTCTAACGTATGCTTCTTATGCCCTGTTCGTTTCTCTTATAATCCGTACTTTTCAGCTTGTTTTTTCAGTCGGAACAATATTTTTCTCTCACAACAAATCAGCGGAACAGTGTTTGGCTTAGTTCACTGCTGTTTGTCGAAGTGTCTTAATGAATACTAAATTCATGTTGTCTTGACTGATTTCCCCTCAAGCCTATCCTGTCTGGCTGTTTGACAGAAGCATTCATTGTTGACGCCTTTCAGAGTTACACTTGGAAACGAAAAATGCATCTTATATTAGCTCATAAAAAGTCATGTCTCCTAATCAGATTCTCTTGTAGGTGTGCAAGCTGCAGACGCCCCAACTAGGATCAGCGGGGTTAACAAGCGTGGGTGGAAGTACATAAAAGAATCACAGAAGAAACTACAAGATGCCCCCAAAGTAGACGTAGCTGTTGCTGCCTAGTTGCATGTTGTAAGATGATTCTTGGTTCCTTCATTCGATGGATCTTTAGATGGCTGCTGCCAGATGAACAGAGATCCAGTTTTGGATCGACCCAATGGTTCCATCCTTTTTGTCGATGATGACTGAACCTCTGCAATATGTCCATTACCTTTCTTTCTGGAACCTTCACCATAATGTACTAATACAGAAGAACTGTGTTGATGGTGGCAATCTAGTTTTCATTCTAATGCAAGCTTTGTTTGATTCTGAGTCAATGTTCCTATAGGTGATGCCCATTCATCCACCAAGTTGAAATCTTTTATGTGAAATTACCGAGGGTTATTGATATACTGCCTACTGAATCCCACTTAGGCCCCGTTTGGCCGGGCTCTGGGCAGCTCCGGCTCCCGCTGCCGAATCACTGTAGGTGCACTATTCACCGAAGCCATTTTTCTCTCTTCTCCTTTCCTCTCACTAACACCATCGGAGCCGTAGAAGCTCATTTTTTTTCTCCCGTGGCTCCAGCCGTTTGGCTGGGCTCTGGGCAGCTCCGGCTCCTGCTGCCGAATCACTGCAGCTGCACTATTCACCGAAGCCGTTTTTCTCTCTCCTCCTTTCCTCTCTCACTGACACCACCAAAGCCAGAGAAACTCGTTTTTTTTTCTCCCGCGGCTCCGGAGCCGGAGCACGCGGGAGCCTGGCCAAACGGGGCCTAATTTGGGACACGAAATACCTAAGCCAGGCTGGGCCGGGCTTGTGCCCTGTCTTAACAGGCCATGCCCCGTGTTGGCCGTCTGCCCCGCCCGCACAACGGAGCCGATGGTGTGGCCGCAATGCCGCTCCGCCCGCGCCCACCAGCTGCCGGACGGCGTCCTCCCCTTGCCGCGACAGTGAAACCCCGTACCTTCGCTGCCGCAGCCTCCTCCCACCACCAGCAGCAACAGCCTCCTCCTTGGCGGCGGGTGGACGACTTGCCGGCGGTGGGCGAGGGCCGGCCCTGCGTGCCAGGGTGGCCGAGGCCGCGCCGGTGGCGGCCGAGGGCGGTAGGCAGGAGGCTCATCCCGCTGCACCAATGGTGGAGATCCCCGTCACGTGCTATCAGGTGAATGGTTCGAGTCAACTGCAATTTCGAAAATGACGCTCACCTTCTGTTGCTCTGATCGCCGCCTGATCTGATTCGGTTCGTTTTTCCGCGGGCCCCTGTCAATTAATTATCTAGGCGGTTGCAGATTGAATCAGCATTTTCCTATAACAAATCGAATTCATTGTACGCATCTGTAATTTTATGCGCTTCCCTCATTTTTTAGTAAAAAATATGTGTAAACACGTTCTGAAATTTCGTCTGATCAGTTCACAATTGATTGGACCATTTGTCCTTTTTAACTTGTTGGTTGACATGTAAAAAAAAAACTGCACGATCTCAACAATTCCAACACCTGCGTCGAGTCATCTAGTAGTGGTACTGTAGTAGTTGATGATCAACCGTTGATCCATCGTAATCTTTGCTTTTTACCTGCTGCGCTTGTGCTACTACAGTACTACTCGGCCAGCACATCCAATCCAGATCGAACGGGGCATCCGTATGGTCTACACCCTTTCGCTTATCAGCCAGGTTTATCATACATTTTTGTTTCGTAACAAAAAAAATATCAGTCGATTTATAAACCACGGAACCGGAGTTCAGTGGTTTCGTCGTCGTCCCGGTAGGTCCTAGCCCGACCCGTTTTCTCCGCCGCCGGCCGTATCTGTCGTACCGGCTCGGCTCCCCGCCCCGCCGTGAATTCCGGAGCACGAGGGCGGACGGACGATTTGCCCAAGATACGGCGGCGCACCTGCCTTCGTGTCGTGTCCTCCACTCTGGACTCCCTCGCAGCAAACGTGTCGCGCAGGGTAGCTTGCGTTGGGACGTGTGTTGACTGACGTGGACGCCGGGATATTTCCAAAACTGCAAGTCGCGAGTCACGACCGGGACGTGTTTGACTGACGTGAACCGGCCGGCAACCTGCTGCTTCAGGCACGCGGAATTGGGGTCCCTAGCGTGATGCTGGTGTCGCCGAACCGGGGAGCACAGGTTTGGTGAGCCGAACCGAACCCTGATTAATTTAGCTCGCCGATGCTTCTTCAGGCTGTTCGGTTGGCTGGTTCGTATCGTTGCTGGTTTGTTTATGTGAAAGAGAAGTATTGCTGGCTGGTTCGCGTAAATAGTAGCCATGTGAGGGGGCTGGCCAGCCAGTCCAGTCAGCCCCAGCCCAGCGATCAGGCTGCTTGTTTTCTCGTTAACCCATGTATTAGTACTGTATTACTCTTGGTTGGGTTTTAGTTTTACTGTCTGTGTCAAACTGTCACTTCAAACTTTTGATTCGACACTGTTGACACTCAAAAGTGTCCAAAGTGCATAACGAACTCATCCACCATCTTTCTATCGTCAAGATGGCCAGAAATGATACTTAATCATCGCATTTGAAACTCGGGTGAAGAAAAGAGCTTTTTCGGGCCTGATCCAACCCTAAGTCGACCAACTTCGTCAAGCTGATCGAAAAACATATATGGTTCGCCTCGTTTGGAGTCTGGATAAATTAATTATAAATTTTAGAAGCTTTTCACCTGAAATTCCCAGAGCCAAGTCAGCTTAGCCAACTCACCTAGTCGCCTAAGCTGACTCTGCTTGTTTTCAGCCCGAAAATAGTACCCCGGGCCCGTGGAAATCGGCCTAGCCGACTCGGGAGTCGGTTTAGCCGACTTTATCAGGACTAGGACATATTTAGATGCGTTTTGACATGATTTGGAAAGGGTTTCAACTCCTTGAGGGATAAGGCCACTCCCACTTTATAAATATAAGGTCCACGGACGATTGAGGTGTCCAACACACATAATCTTACCAAAAAACCAATCTACTACCTCTCTTCCTCCCTCTTCCCCTCTACTTCTCCCCGTTCTTCGTCGGCGCTGCATGGACAGTGAATCGACGACGGCGAAGCTATAGAGCGGCTAGGCCGGCTAGAGCAGCCCATAGCCGTTGCATGCCCCAACGGGGTCCCTCCCAGGCGTATGGGGTTTCGGGTCTCTCAAGAGACCTCGCCGACGTGTCTTGCGTATCGCGTTCATCGCTGGAGGCATGAAGTCCAGGTGTGGACATCTCCTAGGCGTCAATCGATCTCAAAGTCAGCTAGACCCTGTATCGAGCGTTCTAACCCCTTATCGAATGTGTGACCTAGTTGAGCGTCTAAACGACACAAGTAGTACTCCGTGCGGCTGCCTTATGCTTTTCGGTAATTTTGGTGAACGAAGAAAACGGTGAACAAAAAGAAGTGCTCTGCTGCCTAGTGCCTAAGCTTATATAGCTAGCTAGAAATAGAAGCACTTCCAAGTCGATAAGCGGGGACACTGTTGCTTGCAGAGGTAAGCCCACAGCGACACGTCTTTGGCAATGCGAGGTTAACATCGATCTTTCCCCGTGTACAAGGACGTTTCACCGGGGTGGGTGCCAGCGCCACGGTACACTGAACCAAAACGTCAAACCGGGCGTTTGTTTGACGCATACATCCACGGTCGAGGCGACCGCGGGCCACCCCTACCGCCGCCCACACGTTTCCACTCTCCACTAATGGCACGGTGAGTGGTGGCTCGCTGCCATCTGGCGATCGGCCGAGCGGCAACGCTTCTTAGCTTCGTGACGACGAAGCACGCGCTGTACCATTGCGATGCAAGCTTGCTTGATACTGAACGAACAGGCCCGTCGTCCGTGTTCAGTTCTGTGTCCTGTGTCCATGCTACCGCTTCACTAGATTCTCGCCCACGCCACGGGATGACGGGAACAGGATATTTCCGGGGCTGCATGCATGTCCGCGGCGTTGGGAATGAAGAAGCTTCTTCCTTCCGATCCCAATCCCTCCTGACGGCGACGTGTTTGACGTGCGCCGGCTGCTGAGTCAGCGACGTGGAAAGGGTTTAACACGACCGGTGGACGTACTTAGGCCTTATTTAAATCCAGAGAGTAAAATTTTAAGGTGTTTAGATACTAATAAAAAAAATAAATTACAGAATCCGTCAGTAATCCGTGAGATGAATTTATTAAGCCTAATTAATCTACCACTAGCACATGTGTTACTGTAGCACCATATTGTTAAATCATGAACTAATTAGGTTTAAAAGATTCGTCTCACAAATTAGTCGTAAACTATGCAATTAGTCATTTTTGTCTATATTTAATACTTCATGCATGTGTCTAAACAGTAGATGAGATAGAGAGTAAACTTTAGGAGAAGAACTCAACAGGGCCTTGCGGAGGTTGGTGACTTGGCAAGATGCGCAAGTAACAACTTCCAGAACTCTGATTCATTCGTTTATTTGTGGTGCCAATTGAGTTACCATTGCCATTGCCAGTAATTCGGCTCTGTTCGTTTCTCTTATAATTCATACTTTTTAGCTTGTTTTTTCAGTCGGAACAGTATTTTTCTCTCATGATAAATTAGTCGGAACAATGTTTCGGCTTGTTTTTTCAGCGAAGCGAACGGGGCCATCGTCAGCTTTTGGGCTTACCCTACCTTACCTCTAGTACTATGACATCTGCGCTTGGAAACCTGATCAAGGAACAAATGCCTCTTTCTAGACTACTGACCTCCGCTCAACTTGCTGTGTATGTCAACAATGCTGACATGATTATGTGCTGACGAATTAGAAGGAAGATAATCGATCCGATTGCAATTGACAAACAATTTTTTTATCAAATGCGATTATTACCAAGTTCTAATGAAAATACGAACTGTACCGAAGGTAAGTGTGAAGTAACCAATAACCCCGGGCTCGTAAACTTGAAATTTAAGCGGCCACCTCAGTATATAAAAAATAAAAACATGCATATTGATGTTCGTACTCCTCGACTGGCTATACCAACACAGTGCAGCGTCTTTGGCGTGCAAGATCAATTAATTTTGGATTTACAAGCTAGTACGAAGAAGAGAAAGGTCAATTGTTTTCCACGTTAGGGCCTTCCACTCCGATCGTTAGGTGCCAGCACCGCGGCACGGCGAGCCAAAAGTCCAAATCGTGAGCCCGGGCGTTTGCTTAGATCCACTCGTTTCCGCAAGGCAGACAAGCCTGACCCGTCCACCCAAATCCACCCCAACGACACACGTTCCCGTCGCTGGGCGACATGCTGCGACCCACCCGAGGAAAGAATCAGACGTCCACCGACCGACGACGACGACGACGAGATGAAGCACGCGCGTGAACGGCACCATCCGCTGACCGCGGACACCGAGGCGGAGCGCGCGCGGCTGGGACTTTTGGGAGTACAGTAACCTGGATCGACTGTTGGCCGTCGGGTCGGGTGGTGTGGCCTCCGCGGCTCCGCCGGTCCACCCCGCAGTCCCACTCCCACAGTGTCCCACACCTTGTGCAATATACGTCTCGTGACTGTCGTGAGTGTTCAATGTTCACACTGCCAACAGCCCCTCAGCCCCAGGCCGCACAGCTGCATCCTCGATCGAGTCGATGGCTCTGTTCGGCTTCCTGAATCTTCGCCGAAAAATATTGTTCTTGCTGAAATATTGTAAGAGAAAAATACTGTTTCAGCTAAAAAAAAAAGTCGAACAAGTCGAATATGGGGTAAGCCGAACACGACCGATGAGTCCACTGCGTTCGCGCCACTCGCGTGGCTAGCTCATACGGACTCCACTAATCAAGGATTTTTAATTAAATTTAAAACTTATTAGTAAACCGTCATATAACTTCCACGAGTTTTTCTTTCCTTTAAAAAATGTTCTCGTATTTTTTGTTTTAAAAAGCTATCATGATACTCATAACTCCTATGTATAATATTTTATGCAATAATTATAACCACAACCTTTTATTATAACTTTTTTATATAGATTTTTACATGATTTTATAGATAAACTACTATAACAATTTTTCTACATGACCTTTATAGTTTAATTCTTGTGCACAACTGTTAGCTGATGATGTGGAAGTTGTATCACTGTAGCACAGCTCAGCTTCACTAGTAAAACTGTATTTTTAAATAGCTTTATGAACAACTTTCTAGGTGAAGCTGAGTTGTTTTGAAAAACTGTTTGGCAAAACAGCTTCATGCATGGATGAGGGAGAGATCTAGGATAAGCTATTTTTTTCAGCTTCATCACAACTCATATCTTTGAGAGGAGAAAAACAGCTTCACCCATGAAACTGTTTTAGAAATGAGTGTTTGAAAAAAAAACTCACAACAACTCATGAAGCAGTTGTGAGCTGTGACAAACATACCATATATATATATATATGTATGTATACACACACGATAGTTGGGTTACTATAATTTTATAGTAACCCAACTAATTTACGATAATTTTATATACTAATTTACGATAATGTCAATACATATTTACGATAGTTGGGTTACTATAATACATGGGGATATTTACTCTAACGTTATAGTAAACCACTTAGTAAGGAGTTACTATAATCTCGTAAATTAACATAGTAATTATCGTAACTCAAAATGGCTACAGAATAAATTATTTTATAGCGAGTTATATATATATATATATATATATATATATATATATATATATATATATATATATATATATATATATATCATTGGTTGCTTATACCTCTATTCTAAATTATGATATATTTTAGCTTTAGATATTTAGATAAACGACTTATGCTTTGGATTGGAGAGGGTATTATACATATAAATATACACCAGGACCGAGTCCAGGCGTCCGAAAAGGGCAGGCGTTGCGACACCAACGTGCTCATCTCTCGCCCGGCCTTGAAATCTCCACACCGACCGCGCCATCCCTCGCTTCGCCCCTACTTAAAATCTCCGAGCAGCCTCCGCTTCGCCACGCAGAGAGCTCAGAGCAGCAACCGCCGAAGCAAGCAAGCGAAGCGAAGCACGCGCGCGCGGCCGGCGTCAAGCTCAGGCTCAGGTGCGCGTGCGCGGGCACCGGGCAGCCAGCAGTAGCCAGAGCACAGGGGGATGGCGATCGTGGGCGCGGAGTACTGCGACCCCGAGGAACGCGTCCTGACGGTGCGCAAGACCTCGCACTTCTCCCCCGGCGACGGCTTCGCGGCCTACGACCACCGCACGGGCGGGCTCGCCTTCCGCGCCGACACCTACGGCCGGGGCCACGGCGGGGGTGCCGCGTCGGCGGGCGAGCTCGCGCTGCTCGGCCCTGCCGGGGAGCCGCTCCTCACCGTGCGCCGGCGGCGCCCGTCCCTGCACCACCGATGGGAGGGCTTCCTCGGCGCCCGCGCCGACGGCCAGAAGGCGCTCTTCTCGGCCCGCCGCCCGTCCATCCTCGGCGGCGCCGCGGCCGGCGCCGTCATCGAGCTCCTCCAGCCGCCGCTCCCCTCCTCGTCGCCGCCGGCCGTGGCCGCCGCCCCCGAGCTGCTCCGCGTGGACGGGTCCTTCCCGCGGCGGTGCTGCCGCGTGGTGGCGGCGCCCAGGGCCGAGGGGGAGAAGGCCAAGGTGGTGGCGGAGATCAGGCGGAAGGTGGACGAGGGGGCGCGCGTTGTCATGGGCCGCGACGTGTTCGTCCTGCGGGTGAGCCCCGGCTTCGACGCGGCGTTCGCCATGGGGATCGTGCTCGTGCTCGACCAGATCGCGGGCGACGAGGCCAGCGTCGACGCTGGAGCGGACGTCATCGACGCCAAGATTTGATGACCTACCTACTGATCGACCTATGGGATGGGGTTGTCCCATCGCTTCTTGGTTTTGCTGTGTATAGACTATAGAGCCTGCGATCCTGTTTCCTTCTCCTTTGCATACGAGCTTTGCTCCAAAGAACCGGCAATGCATATACATGCTCGACTTTTGCTTTCTCTCCCCCAGTCGGTAGCAGCAACCAGGATTACGTACTGTCACTAGTAGCAGTCTACTCTGACACAGCAACAGGACTCCGTACCAGAGCAAAGCAACACAGCAACAGGATTCCGGGCTGTTCGGCTGATTGAGTTCATCAGCTGTTTCTCTTCTTCATCAAATTTTTTTCCACGTTTCCTCCCTCTCAGTCGCCTGAACGTTCAGGCGATGCATCTTGAGTGTACAGGGAGCATGCTAGTAGTAGTTGCTATGTTGATCACATGAGATAATACTAGTATTAGTTATTACTGTTGCCTGAAAAAATCCCTCTGTTTTTTCTTTTACATTACCTCTATCGATCATCAAAAGATGACACCAGAGAATTGATGCTTCAATCTTTCGACCCCTTCTTAGCAACCGTAGGATCTTTACACACCGCCCCCACCCCTGAATTCGACAATCTGAGCTCCCTGTTCTTTGTGGATACATAGGGGCATAGAGCTATCAGTTAGCAGCTAATGATTAGCTCCTTAAATTTAAACAGGCCTAACTTTGGTAATCCACCTCAGGACTTGTTTGATGTCCATGTATCTACCTCAATCCACATATGTTGACGTGGATTAAAGTAGAATTAAACTTAGGCCATGTTCGGCTTACCCCATATTCGGCTCGTTCGACTTCTTTTTTCAGCTGGAACAGTGTTTTTCTCTCACAACAATTCAACCGGAACAGTGTTTTTCAGCCAGTTTCAGCCAAGTTTCAGACCAGCGAACGAGGTCTAAGTTTTACTCCAGTCCATTCTAACACATGTGGATTGAGTTAGATACATATGTATCTCAACAAGACCTCAAGCGCTCTCTTCAAAACACATGATTCTTGGAGCTACTGGTCAACAAGGCGGAGGCGTCGTGCGCAGGTTGCAAATGGAGGAGACGTTCTCTGCGAAACATGTTGCATGCATTAGCATGTACTAGGGACGATATGCACAATACGAAGGCGTTGGTTAATCCCAACAAAATTGAAGAACAGCGCGCAGACCATCAGTTATTATTGTAGACTGGCTGTGTGCCTGTAGTGCTGTTTGGATTGGACCAGCAGGCCAAGCAAACTGGAGGAACAAATTAAAGGAATCTCCTGGCGTGAATAAAATGGCTAGCCTAGCCGCGGATCAGATTGCGCAATTCCGACAGGCATATCTCTGCGCTGCAGTTTATGATGAGCATGAGTACTACGGAAAACACATGCGCTTTCGCCGCACCTTTTACGTCAGACTCCGGCAGGCTACAGTCTCCGTCACTCCAGCGGTAGATTGAACTTATTAGTCCGGCTTATCAGCTCTATTTTTGAGTCCGCTTAAACTTATCGGTCCGGAGGAATCTTGGCGTGAAGAAAACATTGGCTAGCGCGCGGATCAGATTGCGATGCCGACGACAGTGATATCTGCGCTGCAGTTTATGACGAGAATTGAGTAGTAGTATACGGAAAACACACGCGCTTTCCGCTGCACCTTTTACGTCAGACTCAGGTAAGGTTCCATTCCAGTCTCCACACCACTTTGCATGCATGCTGCTATACTATCATATTCGCCTTGAATTCATTATAATAATAGTAATCTTGACTATCCACAAATGGCACTGTGGGGCTTTATACGAAAAATATATTTCTGCATAGCTACCATTATTTGCATATATATAATGTTACTACTGCATCAAATATAATAGTACATGGAACCCTGTCACGTTGCACATATGATATGATACCCACAGCAATGCAAAGATACGGCGATGATCTCCTTTGCTGAACCGACACATGAACATAACGCGTTATTGTAGTATATACGCGCTGCGCCAAGCTCTCCCACACCTTTTGAGCGGCTAAACCCCAGGAGCAACTACCACTCCACCACCTGCTGCACCCAGCAGCCAGCAGCACACAATTATTGGGACGTACACGTACGCAGACGCAGCGGCAGCGGCAGCGGTAGCGGCACGGCAGGGGCAGCGTGCAGCAGTGTGTGCCGTTCCTTTCCGGCTTGACTGGTCGCCGGCGCACTTGCACGGGAGACGGTCGATCGGTCAGTCTGTTGGCCACCCAGCTCTATCGCGCGCTGATAGATGTTCTCCAGCAAAAGGGTCCGCGGCAGGTTCACAGGCATGGTTAGGCACCGAAGAACGCCGCACGCACGCCCCGTTCGTTACAGTTTATTCAGAACTACTTTTCAGATATGGATCAATGTTTTCTCTCACAATATTTCAACATAAACATTAACATAAGTCAAATTTCAACATCAGCGAACATGGTGACAGTCTCTGTCTGGCAGAATTTTTTGTCCGTGACGACCCATCGAGCGGATTGAAACAAAAAAAACCGGCCGGTGCTCATCATCCTGTGATCCTGTATTCGTGTGTTACTGTAACGGTAGTAGTGGTTTGTGGTGTGCGCATACAGCTTAACTTGTCTTAGTCTGATCGGCGTGCCTTTTTCATTCTCTTTCGGCTTTCGCTTGAACGCGCGCCTTTTAAGCCCCCTTGGCACGGCTCATCCAAAACGGCTTCACCGGTGAAGCCAGAAAAACTGGTTTTTCCCGGCTTCTAGTTCATTTTAACCCCGGCTTACAAAACGGCTTCACGCTACAGTGCCTCGATTTGCGTAAAATAGATGAAGCCGAAGCCGGCATAAGCCGTGCCAAAGAGTCCCTTAATAAGTAGGGGCGAGATGCTTTAAGCCAAATTAATAAACGCTTTGCAACATGCGCATGTACAGAAGAAATGACTCCAGCTTGGAGCACATAGGCATTGCTAATCCTGCACAGCAGCAAGCAACGCGGCCAGTGCAGGGAATCCGGCCTGCAGCCAGAGAGTGCCAGACGCCTCCTTCTTCCGAGGATTTGCTCCATGCAGTAGTTGCGGTGGACGGATGACCCCCTGGAAAACTCTCCTGTTGCGCTGGCACCAGACCGGCCAGGTCACAAGAAGCACAAGTGAAGGGCCTGGATTGGCAGACGCGGGGCAGTGAGCACTGAGCACCCTGCACCAAACCTCTCTAGAGTAAACACAACCGAGCTACTAGGTGGTCTCAAGTTTCCACTTCTTGCGAGCAAAATGTGCATCCCCTCAAGCCCAGCATGAGCTCCTCCAGGTTAAAGATATCGTCCTTCAGATCCAACTCTCTGATCGGCCGGACAGAAGGCTATCACCCTTCAGTAGAACGTCGGACAAGCTAGACACATCGTCCATCTACAGGCTCCTCAAGGCCAAGGGACAGCCCAATGATGCAGCGTCAATCTTCATTTGGAGGAAGAGGAATGCAGCCCCGCCAAGGGTCCAGCTCTTTGTATGGCTTATAATCAAAGGAAGAATCCAGTGCGGGCTCCAACTTACATCGAAAAAGAATCATCGACTCCCCAGCTTGCTCTGCAGTTCAGTTTTGGTCTGGCCTTGGATTCCAATCTGTGCAAAATTTACAGACCTCTAACCTGCACTGCATTCGGAATTAAGGTGCTGTTTGGTTCCGCATTTTTTTGCACGTCAACGATTTACGGAGTAATTGGGTTACATTGCTTGGTGTTTGGATGGACCCAACAGTAATCAATTGCAGCGTGAACGGATACAGCCCAGTAGAAATCCATTACCCCTCCGCTCCCAGCGGCATCTCGTCACGGAGTCGCAAAAAAATCAACACCGCCGCCGCCGTCCTCGGCTCCTCGGCCTGCGTGCTCCGATCCGTTCCAACCTCCTCCGCGTCCCTGCCAGGCTGCCACACCCGCGGCGAATCCGGCAGCGGCGCCGCCGACTCCCACTGCCGAGGCAACCATCTCCCGCGGCGGCGCTGGCCAAAAGCCCAAGACACCCGCAGCGACACCCACTGCTGAGGCACAAGAGGCTGTGGCGCTGTGGCCCCTGCGCCCGTGAAGATGCTCGTCGCGGCACCGGCTCCTGTAAGAAAGGATAGGCAACGATGAACAACAGATCAAGCACAGAAAATATGAGATTTTAATGTCGAAAGGAAGGAAAAAAAAAATCACGGGCGCTAGTAAATCTTCACTATATCGGATGAGGTTACCAAAATCAGGAATTTATAACTTTTCTTATTCCAAGACGACGGCTTACATGAAGTATATATAGGGAGGAAAACCCCCACACCCTCATCTATTAGCAATACGAAACTAATAGATGGTCTAGTCGCTCTTAACGCTAATGGGTCGTTTCGTTTCGGCCCAAGCTTAAATTTAGATCATAGCTCAACAAATTTCACCTTGAGACAAATTTCTTCTTGTAGCATAAAACGAGCCTTCACCTTGAAACAACAAAGAAATAATTCCGGTGCCAAAATAACCTCTTGGACTAAACAGTTATACCAACTAAGCTTGATTAGCTATGTATCTACTAACCAAACTCATAACATATGATAAATTAGGACGAGAGCAAACCATGGCATACATCAAAGAACCAACAGCACTAGAATATGGAACTCTTGACATGTACTCAAAAAATCATCATCCATACTAGCACATTGTAAAGTTGATAATTTGAAATGAGGAGCAATAGGAGTACTAACAGACTTTGCATCATGCATGTTGAAACGATGAAGAACTTTTTTAATGTAACTTTGTTGACTAAGAAATAACAAACCAGAATTTCTGTCTCTTAGTAATTTTCATACCTAGAATCTTCTTAGCAGCACCCAGATCCTTCATCTCAAACTCACTACTCAACAGTTTCTTCAACATAGTGATTTATTTCTTGCTCTTGGCAGCAATCAACATATCATCAACATATAACAGCAAATATATAGGTGATCCATCAACATATTTAATGTACACACAACTATCAAATTCAGACCTCTTAAAACCATGTGAC